GCTGACTGCTCTGACCTGTAGGGATGACCTTGTCAATCTTCAGACACACATGATGATATCCCTTCATAGAATCTCAAAAAATCTGTCATCTTCTGGTATTTAGGCTGCCAAACTCATAAATATTTTCCTAAACCTTTCCATTTCATGTCATCTACCTTTCTTCCTCCTGCAAAGTTTACCCTGAATTACTACATCATTTCTGATTGCTTTCTCCCCTCTTTCACTTTTATGTCCAAGATCTTGCCTGAATGAGTGTTCTCTCCCACTCCAACTGCTCTCAATTTCATAATTATCCCAGCTGTACTGAAATTACTATTTCAGGAATGATCTGCTGATCAGAAAGATGCTACCACATCTTAAACAAACCAAACCAAAAAATTGTAATGGGGTAACTAAACTAAAATTTTTTACACAGAAGAATTTTCATATGAGTGAGTGAGGGAAACATAAAGAGATCATATGCCTTCACCAATGCTGTTGCCTACACATGTTCAGTATCTGAAAAAAAAAAAAAAACAACCCTCTTCCTTTTCCTTCTAATCCATCCCTCAGTGTTTTCATTTCTTGTGATGCCTTTATCATTTGAACACGTTTATGTTACCACTCCTTTAAACACCTGCCTGTTACATTTATGGTGTCTGCTCCTTAAATTGTTTCTCATCTTATGTGAAACTGTAAGGTTTTAGGACAGGCACCAGTATTTTTTTCTCTGACAGCACAGGGGTCTCTTAGCTGTTAAGACTTTACTAGTGATAGATGATCTTGCCTGTGCCTTGGCCCAGATACACACTTTTTATGCTTATCACATTTTTGTCTGTTTTTAAGAGCTGTTCATTGTATTTAAGTACATAGGAGTCAAGATACAGTGTATAAAATTCAAAAGCAGCATTAAAGACTTTGCCATAATGATGGCTCCTAATGGCATATTTTTCCCCTTTGAAAGGTTTATTCCTTCTTTTCCATTGATACCAAATTATATAACTCATACTGAATTCTCTGTTGAATAATTAATTAAATAAATAAATAAAGCGCAAGTCTTCAAGACTTAATTTGTGATAATATGGTCATGGGGTGTCCTGCTTAGCCCCACATAGCTTTGGAAAAGATTAATATTTAGATGTATGCAACAACTAGAGGGACATAATTTTACATGGGTATAATATTGGCAATTCAATCTACTTTCCAGAAATCTAACTGCACAACAATAACCTTATTGGACATGTATTTTAATTGGGATGATAGAATTAACTCTATCTAAATATATTTTGACAAGTGCTCTAAAGTATCAGTCCTTACAACTGAAGATATGAAGCAACTTTTTGAAGAACACATACTTTTTCAGAAAGGAGGAGTGTGGTATCCACATGCCTCTGAACAGAGAGAGACTTAGCTTTCCTCAGGATTTTTCCTGAGATAAGCTGTGAGAGAAGCAGAGTAAAGAATGATCAAAACAATTCTTATCTCATTTGCTGCTCCTATGTTTGAGCACATTTGTGTTCCTGTGTTTGTAGAATGTGTTATGGAGATTGTTTACCCAAGGTAATTCCTTGATTGGATTCTGGTGATGGTGTCTTGGATTGATTGACCAATTAGGTCACAGCTGTGTTGGGACTTTGGCAGAGAGTCACAGGTTTTCTAGTTAGTTAGTGATAGTTCTTGTTAATGTAATATAGTGTAATATAATTTTAGTATAATATAGTGTAATAAAGTAATTAATTAGCCTTCCGATATCATGGAGTTCTGCGCATCATCATTCTCGCAGATTGGACATTGCATTTTCTACAGAGGAGCAATTTGCAAAGCTGTCAAAGATGTTTAACAATTTCCTCTCAGAATACGTATGCATGTGTGTTAATATATAGCAAAAATATGCATTTTTATTATCACAACTGAATTGGAGACTCAAGAAATAGTGAAATCTGGTTTGTATAATGCCATAAAGTAGGCTTCTTCTTGTAATGCTTCCGTTTTCTGTTTTTCTGACCTGACTACCCATGTAACATAAAAATTGGTAATTACAGATGAAAGAAGTGTGTTAAAGAGTAGATAGGATAAAAAAGTTCTCACATATTGAGAACGGTATTGCCATTATATGGTATCTTCATGACGTTTTATTGCTCTGAAGACTTCTCAAGTTCAAGACTTCTAATAATTCCAAAAGTTAGTTAAAAGGAAAAAAAGATTAGTGACTTTCACAGAATGAGCAAAACCCCCTCATATTTTATGCTTTTTCTTTAACACATAATTTAAACACCAGAAATCATGTGTGAGAGGTTTTAAGGAGCTAGATTATATTGTGAGCTGCACAGTGTCATTAAAACACCACATCTAACAAAACAGTTCCAGAATAAGCAACATAACAAATTACTGCTTTAGCCCTTGAATCAATTTGTGTACTATGTAGTTTCGGTTTTTTATCCACAGTCCTTTATTGCATAGCAGCACAGATTTCCTGATGACATTTTGTTTACTGTAGCTGATCAGGGCACACAGAACCAGTGATCTGAAGTCCTGACCAATATGCTGTGAGTGACATGCAATTCAGCATTTAACCCCTGCTATAGATGATATATAAGCAGTGACATGTACTCAACCCTATCCTTAGTGAATTTGGGATCAGCTATTAATCTTCAGCAGAGAGATTTAAAATACTGTAGAAAAATCTTTTGTTCCAAATGATGGCAAGTACATGGACTTTGTAACTGTCTTCTAGTTATGAAAGATTTATTTATGAGTTATATTCATTAGTACAACTATTCCCTAAGAACTGATATTATTATCAGGATGTTTGACTTTTAAGGTGACAATTTCCAAATGTAGAAACTTACACAGTGAAATATATTCTGATATTCAGAATAATTTTGCATTTAAAAGTTCCACCAATCTAATACAGGACATAAGAACAACCAGAAAGGAAATAAAATCCAATTTTCATAGTAGACAGAAAATGTCATTCTTTTGGCTATCCAATTTTTTTTCCCTCACCATGTATACATGCTTGACAAAGGATAATTTATACCAAGGATTTTATTCTGTTGCCAGTCACATCGATGCTGACCTGTAAAAACTGCATCTGGATAGAACTGCCTACCTTACTTTGAATGCCATTGGTTGAATAGAGCTTTTGGCAGCAGTTGAATATGGCTCTCAATAATTTAAGAAATTGTAAGATTTTTTTTTTTGAAATTAACATCAAAATGTAACTTTTAGAACTCCATTAGCGTCAGTGTTTCTAACACAGAATGAGTATATGTATTTGTACACATACATGTATTTATACACACATTCTATGAAATTAACCCAGGAATCTGCAACCACTGTGTAAAGCTGAAGAAACTCCAGCATAGGCCACTGCTTCTGTGTGCAGCTGGATTTCTGATATTTTCTTACTTAGGCTGATATAAGAACTGATTTGGACTACTGACCTTGGATACAGGACAGTTCATATATCTTGTCAGGGATCTAATTCAGAGGTTGATAGAAAAACTCAGATTGGTTTTAAGGCACATTGGAAAATCCTTCAATCTTATATAGCATAAGATAAAAGCTTTTGACTAATACAGTTTAAAGCTTTAAAAGATCTTTCTTTTCTTCAGTTATTTTCTTCAACCACAAGAGCATATTTAGTAAACAATAAATCACTCTTTCACACAACATCCTCCTTCCTGTTCTGAATATCTCAACAAATAACATCACAAGAAACTTTTAAAGGTATTTGTATATTTAGAAACACGTACTTCACCAAATAACTTGGCATTTTTCCTATTCTCCCATACTTAATTTGTTTCATCACACAAAACCTCTCAGAATATTTTCTTGCCTTTTATTGTAGTAACAAAGACAAAAACAATGTAGCAAATATTTCTTAAAGCCATCATAATTAAGTTATAAATCTGCATAGGAAAAAGAAAATGCTGTCTATAATAGTAAGTTATAACTACGATATATTTATAGAGAGAGATAGACATAGAGCTATCTGTTTATAAAAAATACAGTGAAGATGTATCTTCAAAAAAGTACTGCATGTGTCTGCAAGGTAATTTTCAGTTACATTATAGTTGGTTACTGCATATCCATTTACAATGCTGAACTTACTGGATCAGAAGAGGTTCTCAATTAGCTGTTTTCAGCACCAGTAAGTAGATCTCTGATGTTTCACAGCTTTGTTTTTTTTTCCTCTCATGGTTATTATTGTCTTGCTTGGGGAGGGGGATTGGTTATGTCTAAATATACAAATTGACTCCCTTTGTACACAAGAGCAGTCATAACCTTGTGATACACTAGACTACTTCTCAGTGATCTTACAATCTTGCTTTGAAATTTCCAACAATAGCTGCATATTTAAAATGCGATGTCAACCAGATCCTGCTGATTTTACAAATATGTAGATTTTATTTGCAAAAGAGTAACTTTTACCCATGCAATAATTTAAACATTATTATTTCAGTATGAAGACTCTTTTAAGCAGAATAGTTGGTATCAGTAGCACTTACCTGATTGTGTGGAATAGAGGTTATACAGCTATTTTCCATTTCAAAACCATGCAATAGCAATTTTAAAAAAATAATGCAATGTTTGAAATTTATGAAAATTAGGTTTTTTACTGCAAATGCTTTTTAAGAGGCTTCTAGACACAAATAATTCAATTTGTTACATTGTGGTAGAAATGTGCCATATATAATTATTGATAAAGAGATAGTGCATACAGACCAGGAGGTTTAGATCAGTTGATATGTTAATCAAGTAATGAGTATTGCATTCCATCATAAAAAGAATGTCAAGCCTCTTTTCACTAAGAGAAATCAGCTCCATGACTATTGGACTATCACCAGCCTACTGAAAAGACTTAAAGAAATTAACATCACACAGAAAGATGGATCAAGCATGAATCAACGTGGCAAGCACATAACCAAACAGACATGGAATTAAACAAGAAAAAAAAAAAATACAGGCCGAATGAAAACTAAAACAAATGAAACCAACAAAGATTGTCGCTTAACCTGTTTTGTCAGAGCTGGTATTGATGGTATTGGTAGTGATGGAAGTGAAGGTAGTCTTTGCGCTGTCCTTGGTAGTAACAGATTTCTGCTTATTTTTCATGGCTTCCAGTGCTTTGAGCTTCTTGGCATGTTTAGTGCCTTTGTAGTGGGCCGCAGCCTGGCTCTACAAAGGAGAACAAAATGAACCATGCAATCAGGCTCATTTCTAAACTGGCATTCTCTGTATTAGTACAAATACAGACTACCTTTCAATAATGGGTACCACTTACATTATCCAAGTAGTGACCAAACAGAAAATTATAATTAGAATGATGCTTGGAAAACAATGGAAAAAGTACTAGAGCCACACAAATTCAATTCATACAGTATATTACTGTATAACAGTAGATTAATTTCAGACCAAAATTAGGTTGTTTTAGTCTACCTTGCTACCATTAGTTTTTCTATTAAGATTTATGTTGCTTTCACATGAAAAAAAATAATTCTCAGGCAACAGGGAGGATGGCATTCTTCTCCCGATAGCTTTGTACTTTTCCAGTTTCTGTTTCAAACTAGAATTTTTATCAAAGCTTCCTTCAAAGAACACTTTACTGCTAACAGTGATATCAGCAACTTCTGAGCAAGGACTGACAGTAAAAAACAAACCAAAAATACCCCAGCCCAAAACTAAAGCCCAAACAAAGGAAAGCAAAATATAAAACACACCCTTAAAAGACCACCAGCAAAAACTAACTGAATGTGAGGAAGACATGTAATTATCTGGTTTTTTTTTAAAAAAATTAAAAAAAAAATAAAAATAGAGGATTACTTTTGTTCACCTGTTACAAAAACTAGTGTTTGAAATTCAAAGCCAGGAGCATCCTTTTAGATGAATAAGCTCCCACAAATCCTGCCACAATCCCAAATATATTTTGGCTACTTCACATCGCTAAGCTAAAATAGATTTGTATATGCACTGCTATTAAAATTCATGCATTACATGACAAATAACTTTATTATTTCAAAATTAATTACCAAATTTATTAATTTAATGTATGTGCAAGTATATTTGAAGATTAGCATTTGAACTATTAGATTAAACCTTATACAAAAATCACTACAATTTGGATGAATATTCGGAGTTTTTTTCTTCACTAATTATTTAAAGTTTTATAAGAAAGACAGTTATTCAGTTGATAAGTTGATAATATGAAAACTTGCTTATATCTTCCCTTTTGAAATTCAAACTTTATGGAAAGTAACTCCTTTATTACTTAAAAGAGAAGTTAAGATTTCAGAAATGTCAGAAATTTAGCTATTGCAGAACTGAAAAAATTAAAAGCAACCATTCTGGGTCAGCTCAAGGACCCACAAAAGTCAGTATTTTCTTTTTAGGAAACATGAAACAATAGAAGAGATTTAGAATATAAAAGAAAGATAAATGTTTTCTATTGTGGAATCAAAAAAATAAAAACATATATATGGAATTTAGTGGCTACGAACCTAAAGTGTCAAATGGGATAAAAAGACACATTAATTCCAATCACTAAGCTGCTCATGCAGGTAGAAGAATCCTGTATTATCTGGCATTTATTAATGCTATTTGTTTATTTAATGCTATTTGTTGTCCTGAATTTTGGGGAGAGGAGTTCTAGTGACTATCACTCTAAGGATACATAGAGGCAATTATGACTTTCAGCTTACATGAAGAGCCTTGATTCCTTCCAGATGCCTGAGATTTGAAAAGCATAAGGTAGTAGAAATAGGAGGCCTTGTCTAAAGCCAATTCACAATATATGTGTAAGTGTATACACGTGTAGATGTACACACACGAACACACTCTCTTGGATATTGAGATGCATCATTCAGTTTGGTTGAAAAGCCAGTTTCTCTATACATAAAATAATGTAAATATTGTATTAGGTACCCTTATTGAAAGAACACTGGACAGTGAAGTTTTTAATTAGAAACAATTTGAACAGAAACAGCACAATCATGCACCTTTTACAATTCTCAACACATAACATTGAGACATACTGTAAGCCAAATACAAACAGTCAGAGGATGTTAATTATAATCAAACCAAAAGACCAGTGTTAAGTTACAATGATGCATTAAAAATGACATAATACTGTACACCCTTGTGTTGCTATCATGTCAACTATTTTTAGTTTCTAGTCAAATTTAATCATCAGTCAGCTTCAGATTCTGACTGCACTTTTTTCCCCTAAAAAGTCTAAAAGACTAGCTTGTCACTAGTCAAACGTGGTTCACAATGTGGTCTTTAATACTGAACTATGAATGCTGATATTAGTTTGATACAAATCTCAGTTTTCTTCAAAGAATTGTTGGCAGAGAATCCCAAGTTTAATTATTCTGCATCCACAGCTCTCTCCAAATTCTCTCAGCTATAGTTCCACAAACCTCATCTCAAGTTTTATGTTGGATGCTGAAGAAATATATAATGAGGTCCTGTGCAGAAATTGGTGACCTTTTCATTGCTCTGAAATATATGAATGAAATTGCTCTAAAGTGGAAACATATTGCTTGAATTTACAGGTATGATAGCTGCTATGCAGAGTTGTCCATAACTCGCTTCCCATCCTCTACTTAAATAAGGTCTTCAAGTCTTTTTATTTTAAAGTTTAAATCTCTATCCTCTGCAGGGACATGAAGTCATCTAAGCTTGTTTCAATATAACTGTAGCTGGCATGTTAATGGGAGTTCTGTGTGAGAGCAAACAGATTGCTTCTAAGCATTTAACCAGATCCAAATTAGATTATGCTGAACTTTACAATTGAACTGGAACCCTAATTAAAAAGACAAAACAAAAACAAAACAAAAAAAAGGAAGAGTTCTTTCATTATCTTTCCTTGCAGGATTAAGATGTAGGAAATGCAAAAATATTCATAAATATATTTTTGAGCAAAGCAACATAAAATATAGTACCTCACTGAATAATTTTTTGCAGCTGTAAGAGGACCAAAATCATTCTTGATGCTTAAATGGCTTTTACTTGTAGCCTATAAAATTCAATGCTGAAAGACTATTTACTTGGAGGATGAATACAAAAACAAGACAGATCATAAAATATAACTATTCCCAACTTTCATGCCTAATTAAGCAATAATAGGAGACAGCAGATGAGTGAAAAACAAGTTAAGTACTATTTTTTGCTGCTAACCATGATGCTTAACTAAATAAAGAGACTGTACCCATTCAGAAAGGTGAGAAGGGTTTCCTTCTGGAACCCTTTTACAAAAGAATACATTAGAAGAATACTTTAGGAAAGAGCTTACTTTCTTCCATGTTTGATGCACAGAATTAATCCTAGCACTGTGAAGACAAGTCACTCAGCTAATATCAGTATGAAGCATGAGAAATATGTGAAATATTGCTGGTGTAAAGTCATAGAGAACTTTAAGAAAATATATCCATTCTTGAGAAAGATATCCCACATGAAATTAAAAATTATTTTATTATTATTTATTATAATAATATATAATCATGCAAGATATAAAGAATATTCAATATACTAATAATATCCTGTAACTATATAAATATATAATTTTAATAATTTTATTACTACTTTGTATCTAAGTTGAAAACTCAAGAATCCTTAAATAAATTTTGAGGATTATGATCTTTAAAATTACATGTAGACAAACTTTGGTCTGTGGGAACTACTTAAATGAAGGGGCAAAATGTCACTTTTCAATGTTATTTGTAATGACTTCTTGACTATTTGAGCAGTACAAGTCAATTTAAGCATCTCCTTTTTTTTTTTCCTCTGGTTCCATGTACCAGTGTTAAATAACTGGGGACATTTCTGAGTCATACATTTTATAACCTTGACAAATTGCTCAAATATAAAAAGGGATTTGTCTATAAAGTCTGTCTTTATATTTATGTTATAACTACACAGATATGTATACTACAAAAGAATAAAAATACTGCATGCAGATGTGAACAGCTAGAAAACAGATTCATGTAAAAACAGCTGTATTTTCCTTGCTTAAGTGCAGTATTGTTACCAAAATCACCATCATATTACCAAGCAAATTGAAATGTGTAAATACACTGAGAAAGATGAAATGTTTTAAACAATCCAGACAGTATTCTCTTACTATTACAGTCAACATATCTACACAGCAGTTTTCAAAAAAAGTTTGTCTACCTGACTAATGTACTTCACTGGATTATATACCTTCTCACTTATGTTCTTTAGGCAGTGGTCCAACAAAAACATTGTGCTTAGTTTTTTGCATTGAGAAAAAAAACAGGTCTTGTCCTATTCTCAGAGAGTTTTTAACTTTGCACCACTGCATCTTCATTTTCATATCCCTCCTGATCCACCTCATGTTACCATTCTTCTTACAGATTGCTTTCCTGACTTAATCACTCCCTCTAGGCAACACCTTCATAATGAAAGCCAGTTCAAATAAAAGAAACCTTTTGCAAAAGGCGTAGTGAATATGTTCCATTGATTCCACCTCACAAAATTAAATCCAACTATTTTGTATTATGTCTTTCTCATTTCACAATGCATTTTGAAAGATGTCTGTTGTGGAGACTGCTCCGTGCTTTTATCTGGCTAACTAATAGCAAGGCTGCAGTCTGTATGCACCTTAAGAAAGCACAAAACTAAGAGGGCTGAGAGTGCTGGAAAGTCTATTCTATCTGCCTGGGACTTCAGAAGTTCAAGACATCATTACCAGCTACTGGATGCTACCCTCACCTCTGTTAGTAGTCACAAAACAATAGTAGTAATTTTGGCTAATACATCTGCAACTGATGTCCGGATTCTCCAAAACAAAAAGCTCTAAAACAACAAAAAAATTAGGTTCCCAGTTCAAACTAATACTGTCGGTGAGCTAGGCACACATGGAAAGCAAAAACACATAACTGCATAAGCCAAGAAGGCTTCTGCTCTTGATGGAGTCAGGGAAATTGCTTATGAGAGGTCTATCACACATTACCATAATCTCTGAGTACAAATATTTTCCTATAGATGGGCTGTCAATAAGTATTTGGAAAATAGTTTTGTTGATTTCCTGAGCACACAAGAAAGTGATAAAATTCAAATCTATTTTTTATTTTTGGAACAAGCATGTCATTTTTTCTAGTGACTCCATAGCCTGGCCAGCCAGTGATGACAGCACTGCCCAGGGAAGGTTGAAGGAT